TAAAATAGTTTGAATAAAAAACACGTACTAAATCACAAATCTTCTATATTAATATCATATTTATAATTTTTTTTTTTTAAATTAGATCACTTTCAAATTTTTCTAGATTGATTTGAATACGATGACAAACAATAAAACTTCTAAACTACTACATTGACTAGATAATTCATAAAAAAAATTTAAAATTATCTTTTAAAATATTTTCATAACTAAATCACAAAATATATTATATATACATAACTCATTATAAAGTTCACAAAATAACACATATTCTAAATATAAGTAGTAAATTAGTCGAATAGAAATAGATTCAAAATTTGATATGAATCACAAATCAATCTATATTATAAATCTCACTACAAGTCTACTAAAGGTAAAAAAAAAAAAAAAAAAAAATCACAAAATTACAAATTAAATTTTAAAAAATACAAATTAAAAATAGAAATTAATTTGGCAAGTTACAATTTTATTATAATAACATCCCTAAATTCATCTACTAAAAAGTAGGGAGGAAAGATTTTATGTAAAAATATATATGAGGGGATTTGATCTCTTGACCATGAGTATACAAAATTGCAAACTACAAGTCTTACCAACTCAACCAACTAAAAAGATATTATAATAGTATCCCTAATTTATCTATTAACTAGTACATACGGGAAATTTTATGGAAAACAACATCTAGGGGATTCGATCCATTGACCATATGGACAAAAAAAGCAAAGTCCTACTAACTAAGCTAACACAAAGATCTAAAACAATAATGTATGTTAAATAATTATACAAAATACTATGGCATATATATAAGAGGTCATGGGAATGGTGGGCCCTTTCTAAACATGGGCCAGCCTGCACTTGCCCAGGGCCGGGCCTGAACACACGTACAACAACCAACCAAAGCATTCACATCACATCAACACATATATGTCGTATCCTAATTGCCTAGCTTGTCTGTGTGGAGTACAGGGCGGGGGAATTTATATTGGAAAACTCAAGAAAAGTACGGTGTATCCATTGGCGACGGGGGCGTCGGTTAAATTGGAGAATGCTACTAAAAGCAACGCCAGGTAATATACTTCCATTCATGGCTAAAAATGAGTGAAATTGGTAGTACTATATATATACATTACTAACAGATGAAAGTTGGTTTCAGGGATTGTTTACCCATGTCATTAGACCCTGAGAAGGCGAAGGGGAAGATTATTCTATGCGAAACCCGCGACTCGACTTCTTACATTGGCCTTAAGATATATGAGGTGAAAAATGCAAACGGGGTTGCAGTAATACTGGTCAGCCCCGACCCCGAGGATAGGATAATGGCGCTGAAACTTGGTGGTTTTCCGGGATCCATAATCCTAGAAAAGGAAGCCAACCAGATTTTCAGCTACATCAGCTCAACCAAGTAAAACATGCATCATTTAACATTAAATTCTTTGTATAACCGTCATTCTGTTATGGATTCTAGATCAATATATAAATTTAATTTTTGTGAATTAAGGAATCCCGTGGCAACCATCCTCCCAACTGTGACAGTGACAGGAAATAAACCGGCACCTGCAGTAGTATACTTCTCATCAAGAGGACCATCGCTTGCAAGCGTGAATCTCCTCAAGGTATGTTAGTTAGTTTCCTGTAGTTTATGTGCCAACAGGCAAACAAATTAAACAACATATAATGCGTATTTTTTTTTGAATTGGGGAATTGCATGGCAGCCTGACATTTGTGCGCCTGGGGTTGACATTCTGGCCGCGTGGCCTGATATTGATGGGGACGAGATTATCCCTGTCAAGAGTTATCCAGGTTACAACTTAATCTCTGGGACTTCCATGGCCTGTCCGCATACCTCAGGGATTGTTGCTACAGTGAAAGCACAAAACCCAAATTTCAGTGTTTCTGCAATCAGATCAGCAGTTATGACCACAGGTAACAACCACAACGTACTATATTTGCCTTTTCTTTTGTCTGTGTATAACACCCTGTATGTGTCTCCACTTCTAGCCATGCAGACAAACAATTTGAATGCGCCAATAACGACAACAGATGGAGCAATTGCCACGCCGTATGACATTGGTGCAGGAGAATTAAATCCCACAGCAGCATTAAATCCCGGACTGGTTTACGAAACTGAGATTGCAGATTACCTGCACTTCCTCTGTGCAACAGGCTACAACACATCTCAAATTCGGCTCATCTCGTCAACTGTCCCCAAGGGCTTCAAGTGCCCCAAGAAGTTCACAGAAGACGTGATCTCCGCCATCAACTACCCATCCATTGCCGTCTCCAATCTAAAGAAAGGTGAGCCTAAGGCAATTACAAGAACTGTAAGCAATGTTGGCCCCGAAGAATCAGTGTACACTGCAACAATTGAAGCACTAACAAACATTGAGGTCACTGTAACACCAAATAAGTTGGTGTTTACAAAACAAGAGAAGAAGTTAAGCTATACTGTGATCTTTACAGCTTCATCATCCCTTGAGACAGACACATTTGGGTCAATTACATGGACTAGTGGAAAATATAGAGTTAGAAGTCCAATCGTTGTAAGTGTTGAGTAAGGGAGTCTATCAATTAAGGGACAGATGGCTAGACAATGTGAACTGATCCCTAAAGTCCAAAAGAGATGTTACTATACACATCAATATTTTATGCCAGAGTGTTTGTAAACTACGATCATGGTATTTCTAAATCTGGATAAAACAACACTAACAAAACAAACAATATCTGTTCTACACGTTTTAACATATGGAATTAACAGCCAAATCAGTTGCTTGCTTACTGCAAAAGCTAAGGCTTTGAGTTTTCAAACCTCTTATCCATCTCACGGTTCATTTCGTCGTTATCCATAGGTGTAGCCGTGTAGCTAAGAGACAGCAATTCACACAATACAAAACCTCAGGCCATGCCGCCATGATATTGATATACACACAACTCCACCCTTTCTACTAACTTGAGGCAAATAAAGACGAGTATGAAAATCAAACACATGTACTTTCAGCCTGCTCCGACATTTTAGGTACAACATAAGCCAATATAATACTCATTTGTCAATCATTTAAATCAAGACATTGTTTATTATATCCTAAAAAGTTTAGGTAGTATGTCAATCCTAATAATTTGATTGAAGTGTTTGGTTGAGGAATCGGGTAGAGCCTATTTGGTAAATGGTGATCCAATAGTTTGTCATTTTTATTTCAGTAAGATGTTATAGTCTCTGGTCTCATATTCTGATGGTTTCATTGCCCTTTGGCCTATGTTTGATTGGCTTTTTGCACTTCATTAGTTAAAATTGACTTCAAATAAATAAATAGAATGTAGTCAAATGTCGTTCTTTGATCGCATTTAAATTAAAGTTAATCAAAGATTGCTATATCTTGATCTTTATGCAAAGCTGCTGCATACTCAAATATCATCACTGTTAGTATAGAAAATTGTGAACATGCTAACACTACAAATTGCATCTATAACAAGATTTAGAATCTATATCATTGAAGGAGCTTTAATTATATTTTTTCTGCAGTCTGCAGATAAACTAATATAGAGTTAGTTCCATGTCATATGTGGTTTATTTGACAAAGATATGAATTGTAGAAAATATGGAAACAAAGTTTTACTTGTAGTCTTAGATATTAGATGGTGATTCTTGGGCTTGAGACCATTAGATTACTACAAAAAATCAAGGATTTTGAAACCAATTAACAGATTAGGTATGAAATCTGTGAGCAGGCATAGTGAAAGCATTCCTTGTGAATTGGAACTATTACAAGTAGAGGGCAAATGCTAGTGATAAAGGATGGCATAAAAAAGATCTTTTCAGCCTTTCATCATTTAGCAAACCAAAGATATGGTTAACCATGACTTCATCATCATCTAAGGAGTTTATTCCACTTTTGATCCCTCAAGTATAGTGTTGTTTCCACTTTTGGTTTTCGACTTTGATTTGTTAAACTTTTAGTCCAAAATGTCCAAATACCGTAGTAGGGCGAAATTTGATAAAATTTTCACAAAATGAGAGCATTATATTTTGGATATTTAGGACTGAAAGTGGAATGATTTTAGTGGGGCGACTTTTAAAAGTGGCTTTCTAGTATGCTTTATAATTTCTATGAGCTCTCTATCAATTCCAGTTAGGAGTGGTCAGCTACCATTTGCTTCAGCTGTGGTCGGAAAATCGGAACCAAGAATATTTGTTATTTCAGATTTCCGACCACCAGTGGTCGGAAATTAACAAGTAAATAGTTTTGGAATTATTCAGATTTGTTGTTCCAGATTTACTATTTCTATTGTTACTTTCCTACAAATTGTCCATTGCTTTACCAATTTTAAAACAAGTAGTAATTTCATAACACTACAAATATTATACATTTCATAGAATATTTATTTACACATAATGTTTCAATCACTGCTGGAAATTATGGAATTTTCGACCACCTGAAAGTGATCTTAAATCAAGTCGAAAGTAAAAAGTGATCGGAAATAGCAACAAAGGTTTTTCCGGATACTAAAAGTGGTCGGAACAAGACTTTCGACTTGATTTAAGATCACTTTCAGGTGGTTGGAAATTCTATAATTTCCAGTAGTGAATTCTAACATTCACTTTCAAAACACTAGCTTCCAATTCTAAAATGCTACTATACAAATCAAAATATTTCCTACATCACAAGTAGCATCACAAAAAAAGTTTGAATCTTGACCTATTGCTCTTGCATAGGAGATTGTGTGACATCATTCAATCCAAGATCATCTAGCCCAACACCACTACTTCCATGGCTACCGAATGGATTAGTAGATTAGAAACACGGCTGATTTGAACCACAAAATGCAGCAATTTGAGCTTCCACCCATGCAAATCTGTCTTTCAACTACTTGTTCTCTTCCTGTAGTTGCTTAATTTTTTCCTCACAAGCTACATGTGAGGATGATTGCCTAGATTATGAATTGTTTTACCTCACAACCTCAGGAAAGTAGTGTGGGGTATCTGATCCGAATCCAAAAATGCACAATCCTTTCTTAAGGCCACCGGTTTCCTCGTACCACACATTTGAATCTCCAAGCTCAGGTTGAGTTTGATGTTTTTCAATTACAGCCTCCTATATTCACATATTCGAGGGATATAATCAAATTAAAGGATAATAAGATTACTAATCAGTGTGTACTACTAATTAACCATGCAGACCATCCTCATTTCCAACATGTATAATCAAAGGATAATGAGATTAAACCATTGTCATCTTAACTAAATAAACTTTAATTTGGAAGATTTGGCATCTATTTTTGCATTCAACAACACTGCCTACAATCACTCAAATAAAAAGGGACCATATTTTTTCAAACAAGGAAGCTGCCTACAATCACTCAATTAAGCTAATTAAATCTAGGAAAGCACTGCTTGAAAAAGCGAAATCCACATTACACACAAGATCAACCCAGAGCACTAGAAATAGTATGTACAATATGTAAGATTTTCTCTAATAATATATATTGTATATTATATATTAGTTCCTTAATTAAGTGGTGTAAGTTGACTAGGCTTATTAAGTGGTTTGGCTAGACTGAATAACTAGAAGTTGTTAGTCAATTAGACTCTGTGCCTAATATAAACCTGGGTTGATGGGATACATGTTTATGGATTAGATAGCACATTCAGTTACGGTACTCAGACTGCTCAGTAGACACGAATACACCATCTAGGGTTCTGAGTCTAGTCTGAGGCAAAACATGGCTAACGGTCTACCGTTAAGAGGCAACACAACAGGAACATCAACTGTGGTTGGAGATCAACACGACTATCGCTTCCGCTCATACGAGGTCAGATCTCTCATATACTAATATTTAGTATAGTTAGACTATTTAGATCTAACAAAATATAGTATGTACAATACAGTTTATAACATTTTTCCTTTCAATATAGTATGTAAATTCATATGCGTGTGAATTTGCCTAACTTTTTCCTTTCAATATAGTATGTAAATTCATATGCGTGTGAATTTGCCTAACTTGTTTCTGAAACATACTTCCACATATATAAGTATATAACAGTATTTACAATACAATTTATATAACACAGTACAACACATGAACACAATTTATATAACTTAAAACTAAGTGTGTACTTAATAAACTAAACAGTAATTCAAAAGAATTTATTTCAATATAAAATTTAAAATAAACAAAAATTAGAAATTACCTTTTGTTTTGCATATAACCATAAATTTTCATTCTCTTCTTTTTGCTTTGCATTTAGAACACATTCATTTATATACAAAAACACATGTAGCGACATAGAGGGTGAACACATCATTTTCTAGCTTTTTTCTAAGAACGATCACTTGCAAATAATTATATCAATTATCCCAATCCTACACATCACCATTTCACCAGGGCTACACTGTTAATGCTAGGAAAGTTTTAGTATCTTACCATTACTAGTTGCGCTTTTTTGCAAACAAACTCAATAGTCTTTTTGCGCTTGTGTGTTTCTTGGAACAATGCTGCATGGGAGGGCTATTCTCCAAGTTTTTCTTTCTATCCAAGAACAATAAACCAAATATTAATATTGTTGTTTAACTATAAACTGTATTTAAATAGTAGTAAATGACTTACCAATCTTCTCCGATGCTCAGTCATGGGGATTGAACCTGCAGTGCGCAGTGACGGTCCCAATCCCCCACAGTCCGAATTTCTGTTTCTTTTATTCTTCTCAGCAGTTTTCTTGAAGTTCTCTTTATCCCAAATGCTACGGTATTGAGCTAAAACCGGATCATACTTTCTATATCGTTTATTGCAGAGCACCTCAACGATGCCATATTCAGAGTTGAATATTGACCCAATATTGGGTGTTGGGTCAAACCACTCACACTTGAAGAGAACAACCTTTTTAATTGGAACATTGGAGTACTCAACCTCAACAACTTCTTGCAATGTGCCAAAAAATTTGATTAAGATTGTGCTAACCTCGTTCCCTTGATTGACACTCCGTAGTTAGAAGTCAACTTTCTACGGCAATGTTCTACAGTTTGGAACTTGAAACCATTAACGACATACCCAGTGTATGTGCTAACCTCCATTATCGGCCCAGATGCCAAATCAATGAGTGATTGGTTACACACATTGTTCGTTGGGCAATATACCTAATAATAAATATAAAGAAAATGTCATATAAAAAAATATAGATAATAATGAATCAAGAATAACAAAGAACAATAACTTTTTACATATTCTTTAAACCACTATGCAAAATTGCTTTCGATTTCATCGTCTAAATCTTCATCAGTACAACCAGGATTATAACGTCGTAAACCATTTTCATATATCCTACAATAATGATATTAGATATATACATTTGAAACCAAAATAAGAAAAAGTGGAGCAAACATACCTTAAAATAGGTTGAGCCTCCTCACAATTTAGTAACACATATTGATGAGCGACGAAACGTTCTTCTACACTCAAATATCTTGTTTTTCTCCTGCCCAACGACCGACCTAGTCGATTAAATATTGACAAAATAATTGGCAAGTTAGGATCAATGCCGCCATCATTTAGGTTTGGACCTATCCCTGTTCTTCTACTATGCACATCATCATCAAAATAAAATGATGCAAAGTGTGTTGACTCTTCAAACATATATGCATCAGCAATTGAACCTTCAACATATCTCTCGTTTTTCATTTTGGACTTCAAGTGATTGAGGAAGCGTTCAAATGGATACATCCAACGATATTGTACTGGGCCACCTAAACGTGCTTCATAGGGAAGATGGACAGGCAAGTATTCCATGCAGTCAAACAGTGCTGGAGGGAAAAAACGTTCTAACTTACACAATGTTAAAACAATCGAGTTTTCCATTTCATGTATTTTGTCTACACGTAGGGATGTAGAGCAAAGATTTCTGAAAAACGCACTTAACTCAGTCAAAGGTTTCCAGTGACAGTTTGGTAAAAGCCTGAAAGCTAAAGGCAAACGAAACTGCATAAAAATATGATAATCATGACTTTTCATCCCTATTAATTTAGAAGATGTGGAATCAACACATGTAGCCAAATTAGAAGAAAACCCATCAGGTAACTTCAAAGTTTGTAACCACTCGTAGACAGCTAATTGATTAGTACGATTCAAATTATAGCTTGCATTGGGCATAAAATAACGTCCATTCTCTTCCACCAACTCAAGTTCTGGCCTATTACATACGTCCTTCATATCGAGATGTGCACTAGGCGTGTCTTTATTTTTGGCTGTGCCTTTGACATCCATAACCGTGTGAAAGATGTCATCAAACATATTTTTTCTCTATATGCATCACATTAAGATTATGTCGTAGAAAATTATCCTTCCAATAAGGCAAATCCAAAATATGTTTTTTTTTTTTTTTTCAATTGTGTGATTGTCCAAACCTCTCAATGCGAACAATTGTACCATCAATAATCTTTGGAATATTTTCCAAACTATGAAATAACTCATCCCCTGTCCAAATTGGTTGAGGTCTTGATTTCTCTATTCGTCGTTTGACGAATATATCTCGATTCTTCCTCCGATCCAGGAGTGATTCATTGGAAGGAATTGCCGGTGACAATCAAACCAACATGTTTTATGACCATTCTTCAAATAAAATGATTTAGAATAATGAAGACAATAAGGACATGCTAGTTTCCCAGTTGTCTGCCATCCAGATAACATACCATATGTAGGAAAGTCATTGATGGTCAACATTAACACAATGCGCATCATAAAATTTTGTTTAAGTGATGCATCATAAGTTAAGACACTTGTTTCAATTCCCATAACAATTGAAGTTCATCAATTAAAGGCTGCAGATAGACATCAATATTGGCTTTTGGGTTCTTCGGTCCAGGAATAATACAGGTTAAGAATGTGTATGGTGTAGTTATACACATTGAAGGTGGGAGGTTATATGGAACAATCATAATCGGCCAACAAAAGTACGGCTTTGCATTGAAACCAAAAGGAGAAAATCCATCATAACACAAGCCTAATCTCACATTTTGAGGATCTGTTGCGAAATCAATAAACCTTCTATCAAAGTACTTCCAGGCTTCACCATCAGAAAGATGACACATAATACCAGGTTCGTGGTGATTTTCATAATGACATCACATATGTGAAGCAGAGCTATGTGATGCATACAAACGTTGCAATCTAGGGATAATATGAAGGTAATGCATTCTTTTGAGGGGCACTTCATTTGCATGAGAAAATCCAGGTGGGTGATGTTTAAATCTTGGCTCACCAATAAACTTACAGTGCCTATCATTGATTTCAGACTTATAATACAACATACAACTGTTTATAAAACAATCAATTTTCTCATGTCCAAGACAAAGCTTTGTAAGTAATTTTTTTGCATCATAATACCTAGTAGGTACTCAATTGTCCGGACCCATCATACGGTTATTATATTGAAATATCTGATTCATTGCTACCTGTGGAATATTCACTGTTGCAAAAATCGATCTAGGCGCCAGCCTAGGCACTAGGCGCTCCTATACCGGGGCGATTCCCCCCCCCCCCCTAGGCGTCCGCCTAGGTGACCGGCCGCCTAGCGCTTAACTCGGTCGACTAGCGCCTAACTCGGTCGACTAGTGCCTAACTCAGCCGAGTTAACTCGTTCATTTTGGTCCAATTAGTTGAGTTAACCCGGTCGGATCAGCCTTGCTATTTTTTTTCATTATATATATATATATATATATATATATATATATATATATATATATGTTCAAATGAGAATAGATCTTCTTGTGCGGTCGGTGCGGTATACACCATTAGGCATGCATAAATTCACCACATAGTGTTCGAAAATAAACCAGAATGAAATGCCACAAAATGCACCACACCACCAAAAAACTGCACCACACATAATGCTGTATTTTCAAACAATGTGTGATGCATTTATGCATACCTAATGGTGTAAACCGCACCGACCGCACGGGAAGACCTGTTCTCACAGGAACCTGACTATATATATATATATATATATATATATATATATATATATATATATATATATATATATATATATATATATATATATATATATATATATATATATATATATATAGGGATGCACTCAGGTGCGAATAAGTGCCCTGGAAGGAATATGCGAACGAATCAGTGCGCGACATGTGTCCAGATCTAATAGATTAAAAAAACGTGGTGACATTTTCTTAAATAATTGAACATCGAAGTGCAAGTAAAATCACTTACAAGTGCACATACTTTCACCTATAAGTGTGTGTAATTTTGCCTTGTTAACATTCAATTCCCGCAAACACTCATGCCTCTAGGTGCACCTACTTATAACTATAGGTGCAACTACTTATAACTATAGGTGCACCTACTTTCACCTATAAGTGCACGTAATTTTGCCTTGTTAACATTCACTTCCCGCAAACATTCATACACCTAGGTGCACCTACTTATAACTATAGGTGCAACTACTTATAACTATAGGTGCACTTAGTATTGATGCTCAGTGTAAATTTTACTTGCACTTATAATACATTTTACTTGCACTTCGATGTTCAATTATTTACGAAAATACCACCGCATTTTTTTTTAATCCATTAGATCTGGACACGTGTCACGCGCTGATTCGTTCGCATATTCCCTCATGGGCGCTTCATTCGCACCTGAGTGCAATTATATATATATGTATATATATATATATATATATATATATATATATATATATATATATATATAAGATTTTCCCTAATAATATATATTTTATATTATATATTAGGGCATTAATTAAGTGGTGCAAGTGCACTAGGCTTATTAAGTGGTCTGGTTGGGCTGAATAACTCGAAGTTGTTAGTCCACCAAACTCTGTGCCTAATATAATCCTGGATTGATGGGATACAGGATGATTGATTAGATAGCACATTCAGTTACGGTACTCATATTGCTCAGTAGACACCAATACACCATCTAGGGTTCTGAGTCTAGTTTGAGGCAAAACATGGCTAACGGTCTACCGTTAAGAGGCAACACAACAGGAACATCAACTGTGGCTGGAGATCAACATCAATTGTGGCTGGAGATCAACACGGGCTACGCTTCCGCTCTTGTACGAGGTTAGATATCTTGTATACCATATTCAGTATAGTTAGACTATTTAGATCTAACATTTGGTATTAGAGCCTTTATAATCTTGTCTGGTTGATTGTTTTGCCTAAAAAAAAAATTAATTTATTTCATATATATTCAGTTTTTGTATACGATGTTTTGTACTGCTGGAAAATTATTAATTCTTCGTAGTATGCATTCTTGGTTTTTGGCATTAAGCACAATTTAATTCCTTTTTGTTTTTAGAATTATTTGTTGTGTTTTTTTGAATATTGGAATTCAAGAAATGGCATTGAACGATTAATTTGTTGATTTCGCCCGTTGCGAACGGTGACTACAACCAACACCATTGGGCGACGACAACAAGGAATCCGAGGAATTGGTTCTCGGAGCTGGTTCTGGTTTTTCGTTGCTGTATTTTTCGGCGACGCTCGTGGAAGACGTCGGGCGTTGGGAGGTGGTGTCCGCGGGTTGAAGTTGCAGGCGGCATCAGGACTGAGGCGAGATGGCGGTGGCGGAACTGGATTTCTCGGCGACGTCGCTGATCCATTCCTTCCTTCAGGTGACGCTAGTGACGTCAAGTCATTGCTCCTCTTCCAGTCGACGCTGTTGTGTTTTTGTCTTCATCTAGGCAGCGTCGGACGGCTACCTGGAGGTAGATAGTT